ATTGTATTGATTCAGGTGGAATTTATGATGGTCTTAGTAATAAACAAAGATTTGCAATACCTGGATGGAATATTGGATGTTCAGTTGTAGAAACATTATTAAGTTCAACACTTGAATGTTTATATAATCAAACATGTATTGATTTACTAATATTTTATTTAACAAGTGAATTAACAACATTTCCTTATCGAATAAATATGTCTGCTCTGAATTTTTCAGATGAAAGTCATTTTAAAAGAGATACATTTATTCGAAATATATCAGATGAATTATTTGTTGAAGAATGGAAAAGTATGACATTTTATTCATCATTTTATAAACAATGCGCTCCAATTTATTGTTCTTATGAAACAAAAAAAAATGATTATATTATTTATACAATATCAAAAGTTTTAGGTTTATGTGGAGGATTAACTATTGCTTTACAATTTATTATTCCACTTATAATCAAAATAATATTTGAAATTCGAAATAAATATCGAAGAAATACAATTACTCCCGACGAATAATATTTACAATTACATCAAATTTGATTATCTTAGAAAAACAAGTAGCGTTCGTCGTGCCGACTCACTTCACCCTCGACTGTGGAAGACATATATACTGTCTGCGTGTGCTATTAATGAGGCGATTCGATCTAGCAACTTCACGTACGATGAAACGGTACAACTTTTTCTCTTCCACTATTTATTAGCTCTCGCAAACAAAATAGCTTATTGTCTTTGTAAAACAAACGTGAGGATATAAAAGATCCTTTTTATTGTGAATTTATCATCAGTAACGCTGGTCGGGTACTCTCGATGAACGCTTGGCTGATTTCCTTCCTAGTGTACTCTTGTCATTAGAACTATAAAAAAGATGTATCAACTCACTTATCTCGCAGTCGGTTGTCGGCGTCCCTCCAGTCCACCACTCCCGACTGCTCAATATTGCTCATAGCATATACACTTAATAGCAGGCGCTTTCCGTCCCCACCCTTCACACAACAAAAGCATAAAAGATGTTCAATGCATTATTCATGTATCCTACACATTTAATTTTACAGNGAAGGATCAGCCACATAAACATTACCCAAATGATCGACAATCAATCCTTTGGGATAAGCTAATTGATTGAAATTATTACCCATACTATGCCCACCAGCAACTACAATTCCTTGTTTTGCACCTTTTAACCATTTCATCACACGATGGTTCTTTCTATCCGATACATAAATTGAATAATCTTGATCTACTACGAGATTACCAGGAGAAGAGAGTTGATTGAAATCATCTCCTACTCCATTTTCACCAATTACAACTACTCCCTGTTTTGCTCCTTGTTGCAATCGTATTATTTTATTATTTATCCATTCACTAATATAAAGTTCTCCATTATTATCTATAGCTAAACCGTCACAGACGATTTTTGAGATCAGTATTTGCGGGTTTTGTGGATATGTAAGAGACCATTCTACAACTCGATGATTACCTGTATCACAAATAATGAGTGAATTATTTTTTTTATCAATAACCACCTCTATCGGAAAGAATAACTGATCTATTCTATCTCCAGAATCGTTTCCACCTGCAACAACCTCGCCATTCTTTGCATCTGAAATCCATCTAACAATACGATGATTGTTTTCATCTGCAATATATACCGATCCATCATCATCAATATCGATCCCTTTAGGATTGTCAAGTTGATCTAATTCGTTACCCTTGCCACGGCCTCCCACGATGGTAATTCCATTTTGTTTCCATTTGGTATTAGTATTAACTAATATAGATGAAAGAAATTAATTAATCAAGTAATAGTCATTAATTTAAAGTTTCGCTTAGTTTTTCCCTTGGATAAAGTTACCAAAACTGTGAACATTAAAAAGAAAAGATCTCCTTCTCATAGAATCAATTATAGATAAATAGGTCATCTTTCAAAAAGAATTATTATTATTTTTTTCGAGAAATATATACCTCTTCCTGTTGTTGTTGTCGTTGTCATTGTAGTTGAGATTTTTTTCTGTGAATTCTGCGTTCTTTTTGTAAAGATTGTTTTGGCAATAATTACTCCTGATAGAATCAAAATAGCAAAAATAATAAGACATATAGCCCAAATAGATTTTTTGCTTCGATAATGGATACATCTAAAATAATTTTTTTTAATCATTTATATCGTATTCACGCTACACGCACAATACTCTTGATTGAATATTTGTTGTTTTTATTGTAATAGAATCAACTGGTTCTAACTAAAATAATAATCGAGATTTTAATTTTTGATTAGTTTTTCTTAAAACATTACGTGACCAATATTTATCTTGTTATGAACCATACTGGAATGTTGATTGAAATTGAAGACGATTAGAAAAATGTTGACAATCTAAAAGTTATTAGGATTGGAGAAGAGATCAAGAAAGAAATATGTTTCAGTCCCAAATATTTCTCACAATAAATAAGGATTAAACTGAATATATCATAGTATTCTATACCTTTATTCAATAGAGATTAGTTCGATTGTTCATAATTGTATTATATTTTAGGTTTCTTTCTGATTGAAAGTCATTCGTCTTAGAAGAAATGGTAAATTGTTTTGATGTTATCACAAAACAGTTCATGATACAGAGACATTATAATACACAATAGTGCGGGAAATTCGCATTGGCGTATGTGCAGATCTTTATTAAAACTTTTATCTTGGAAATTTGCCATTTAATGTTAAAACTAGTCTTTTGAAACTTAAAAACTAGTTATACTACACTTATAAAACCATAATGGATTCTGTACTGTTAATTAATCGCGATATATATATGCAGAATAATCTGTTAAAAATATTTAACAACTATTAAAACTATTTAAAAAAAATAAATAATTATCTGCTTACTCGTTTTCGAATATCTTTCAAATCTTTTAAATGATTTTCGTCAGTATTTATTTAAACGGTCTACAATTTTCTAAAATAATTTTTCTCTTGGTTTTTACGTATTAAATCATCTATCCATACCGTTCATTTTTACAAAATAAAAAAATCATTATAATTGCATCTATGTAGATTAACATCTGGCTTCTATTAATTTCTCTTTCTGCTTATTATCACAAATAGAATGAAAGCGTGAAATTTACTTTAGTTTCAAGATCAGATATATAGAAGAGAGAAAGATTTATTCAAGCTTTTCGGAAAGAAGGTAGAAATAACCTATTTTAAATAATATTTATCATGATTATGATTAAAGAAAACATTGAAAATCAATATTCCGTAAGGAAATACAAGTTTGCGGAAAGATAAAAGTTTATAGATAAAAAAGCAAGCATTTTATGTAAATATTTCTTCGAATAATATTTAAAATATTCATTTGGACTTTCAACGCATATTTTCTAAATTTAATTGGATGAATAACTGAAAATATTTGTTCAATTTAGGTCAATGCTATGTTCAAGGTTTTTTAGAAAAGGTGCAAAACAAGGAATTGTAGTTGCTGGTGGGCATAGTATGGGTAATAATTTCAATCAATTAGCTTATCCCAAAGGATTGATTGTCGATCATTTGGGTAATGTTTATGTGGCTGATCCTTCCAATTATCGAGTGATGCGTTGGCTAAATGGATCTCAAGTGGGTAGTATTATTGTTGAACTACTTAGTTGTGTAGAAAACTCAGATGGTATGTGTCTTCTCGACGATATATCATTAGATCGACAAGGAAATCTATACATCGTCAACACTTTCAATCATACAGTACAAAAGTTTTATATTGATGATTGATAATGGTCTTATAATAAAATGATTTATGGATATTTTTTGTTGTTTGTGAAAGATTTTCTTTTGTCAATGGAAAATTAATAAATAAAAGATTTTATAAATATATATACATATTCAAAAGACTACACAAGTTTGAATAGCAATAAAAATATTAGTGTATACTTACTGAAGCATGTGTGTGAGATTTTCTCTTAACCCTTTCAATCCCGACGTTTTCTTGCGTTTCAAATAGATCCTCGTTATCGGTAGACATAAGATCAGATAAGAACTTGGTATTGCAAAAAAAAACACATGTAATGAGCAGACTAAATTTGAAAAGCTAGGATTTTTTAAAGGAGGTAAAAGTAAATCATTAGTATTTGAATGATAAAAATGGCACATAACAAGGAAAATCTTCTCGAACAAGATGATGAATTAGACAAATACACTGAAATTCTCAATGATCCCGATATAGATGATATTGACGAAGAATGTAGAGCATGTACAACCGAAACTGAAGAGTATACGTGATAAGCAGAACTTTATTGATGAAAAGTCACTGTCAATATTACCTTGTAGCGATGATGAAACAATATATCTAGCCAATCGAACCTTTCAATCGGTAGAAAATAAGCATTCTAATAGTATTGATCACGAAAAAAAAGTTGTTGCAGTGCAAAAAAGTGAAGAATACAGGTGATATAACAGTTTGTATATCATACAATATTGACGCAATTCATTCTGTAGTGATGACGAAATTATATACCCAATAAAGGTCATAGCTATACAACTTAATTCTATACGGAAAAAGAGTGGAGAAGAATGGATATATTGGGTTCGTAAGAAAATTCTTGCGTTTTTTTGGAAATGGTCATAAAATCTTCTAGAAAGGTCGCGAAGCTTTGGTACCAAGGATATATATAGGGAGGGTGAATGACGTTCGAAAATACCGATACCCCTCGTAGAGAGATTAGAATCATTTTGCTCCATGAATTTCGATAGGGACACAAAGCAAGCGAAGCAGCAGATCGAACAAGATCCGCGACTGACGACACATGCTTTAGCAGCGCTGCTCGGGTGCTCCCATATCATGGTAGAAAAACATTTGGCTGATCTTGGCAAGAGCTGGAAATATGGAGTATGGATTCCACACGGATTATCGCCGTATCAGCTTCAGTCAAGGGTGGATACGTGTATAGATTTAATCACATTTCATCGTAATCATCAATGGCTGCGCAATCTTGTCACTGGAGATGAGAAATGGGTGCTCTATGTTAACCATACACGCCGACGACAATGACTTATCAGTGGTGAATCTGGAGTGGCAACACTTAGAATGGACATGCATCTCAAAAGAGTGATGTTGAGTGTCTTCTGAGACATGCGAGGAATCATCCATTGGGAACTTCTTCCTAACGGTCACACAATCACAGCTGATCTCAATTGTGAACAACTGGATCGTGTTGCCCAAAAACTCAAAAAGAAAACAAGATCGAATTTACTTCCTCCACAACAATGCGAGACCACATGTGGCAAAGTTGATTCGTGAAAAGTTATTGCAGCTCGGTTGCATTACTATACTCCACCCACCTTATGCGCCGGACTTGGCTCCCACTGACTATCATTTATTTCGCTCTCTGTCCAATTACTTGAGCGAGAAAAGTTCGACGACGAGAACGACCTAAAATTTGCTCTCGCTACTTTTTTCGATTCGAAGTCCTCGGACTTCTATGAGTAGGGGATCCTTTGTATTCCAGATTGTTGGCGTCAAGTTATAGAAACAGATGGTGCATATATAGATGAGAACTAGTTCTTGTTGATAAAGGAAAAAAATAAAATGAAAATCTGAGAAAAAACGCAAAAACTTTCTTACCAGCCCAATAAATGAAACAGTGATTTTTATCATTTTCAGTGGAATATTATCTAAAGACGACAACTGTGATCATCTTTACATGATGTCACTATATGCACTTATCCTCTTTCGTTGTGGTTATACATATACACATGATGTCATCTGTTTCCTTTTATTTGCATATCCTGACGACTTCTAGTGTCTTAACAGTACACTGGTTGAAAGAAAAAAAGGGGAGAAAGGAGGATGCGAGATCCACAAAAGAAGCAAAAATAAATAAATAACTTTTACTATTTATTTTGGTGAAATTGTATTACAAGACATCAATTTCATCGTTCTCGTCACAACTCAATGACATATCTCATACAAATGAGCAAATCTCGCCAACACTCATCGGCACTACCGGATCAATTTTAACTCGCGATCAACTTCAAGAGCTCACAGCGTTGATCCAAGCATTTCTACATGTCTTTACTACCACACCCGGGTCGGACCAATATACTGCAACATCACATAGACATAGAACCGGGCAATAAACCACGCAATTCTGTGCCATGCCGCTATGCAGCGGCTCGTCGTAAAGTAATTGAAGATTAAATTAACGAAATGTTACATAACAGTGTTATCGTTCCCTAGAAAAGCCCATGGGCATCGTCGGTAGTTCTAGCGCCGAAAAAAAGATGGCACCGTGCGTTTTTGTATTGATTATCGAAAATTAAATGAAATCACCATACGTGATGCATACCCACTTCCGCGAATCGACGACATCTTGAACACTCTTCAGCATGCTCAATTTCTTTCAACTCTGGATCTTCGTTTTGGCTACTGGCAAGTAGAAATGGACAAAGAAAGCAAACCCCTTATAGCATTCGTTACGGACAAAGGGCTATTCGAATGTACGGTCATGTCTTTCGGTCTAACTAATGCACCAGCCACACTCCAACGGCTGATGGTCATTGTTCTAGGAGGACTTAAGTGGGAATGTTGCCTAGTATGCTTGGGTGATATCATTGTCTACTCCCTACTTTCGAACAGCACCTCCAAGATCTTCAAAAAGCTTTCCTCGCTCTAGCTGACGCTAACATAACACTTAAATCTTCGAAATGCAATTTTTGTCGACCAAAAATGAAGTATCTTGGACATATCATCGCACCTGGTGGTATCAAATCTGATTCGGATCTGATATCTACGGTGACTAAATTCACCCAACCCACGAAAACCAAAGAAGTACAAGCATTCCTTGGTCTCACTGGTTATTACCGACGCTTTATAGAGAATTACGCTAAAATCGTTGAACCTTTAATCAAATTACTACGGACGACTCAATCAACCACACTTCGTTCTTCTTTACCCTGAAATGATGACTGTACCATGGCATTTAATGCGCTAAAACAACGACTCATCTCTTCTCCAATTATGCATTTGTTAGGTGGCTCTCTTCGAGAGGAAAAGAGAGAATCCAAGAAAGAAATAATATTTTGTTAATGTCTTTTACAAATCTTCTGTGAAAATGTAAGTGTAATTCAAGTAGAGACAAACATCCCTACTTTTTATTTAATATCGATCGAGCGAGATTTTTCTGCTTCTTTCTTCGATTATATGTGTTCTTTATTGAAAATTTCTTTGAATTCCTCATTCTTCCGTTTATCCGTTGATACGAACCAAATATTTGCAAAAGCATTTCGTATTGGACCTGTTGATCCCATCATTTTTGATGAGAGTACTTTATGAAAAGCATATCCGATATCTCTCGTATCATTTCCAAAAGCACCTGTACCTATCGGACCTAGCAAAAGATATGTATTCGATCCATCACCTCTCGTATTAGCCACAGCGGCAGCGATGAATGCACGGAATTTTTCCACAGTGTTTGCGAATATCTATGTCAACCAAAGTGAATTTAGATCATATGCAAAGCTGATGGTGATACGTTACTTCAACAGGATCTTCAGGGTGGTCATACAGTTGTGGCGTTTCTGTGAGACAATAGCATGCGGAAACTAACATATCTGCTTTGCGAATTTTCTTGGATTTTTTGTCAAAAACTCGTATATCACGAGTATACGCAGCTCCAAATTCTGGTATTGCATATCCACCACCCATACGACCATATTTCAAATCAAGTAATGATCGATAACCATCCGAATTGTAGAGCAGAATTTCTTCCTGCGCTCCTAGATGAAAATGAATGTTTTTCTTTTTTTTTGGATATATAAATCTTACTCACGTGCATGGAATAAATATCCTCCTCCAGGAGATCGTTCATTCTAAAATATTTACATAAAGGTCATGAATAACATAAAGAGAAAAAACATCATTTACAGCAAAGGTAAGAACAATCAATTGTGCATGTTCAGGCACATCAAAAACGGCTTTTTCAATACCTTTGTTGATATATTCTAATTTACAGGTATGATTTCGCTGTGATACAGGATGTCGACGCAAAGTTTCCATAGCATCTACATCAGATGGATCACAAAGGAGTGCATTGGTTCGGTTAGTTTGTTCATTCGCTGCTTTGACTTCATCTTTTGGACAAAGATCTTCTAGTTGTTGGAGAGTCCAATATAATTTCAAATCTTTCGGATCCCAGCCGTAACTACGAAACTGTTTCATATATTCACGTGATCGATTGATGTCAGCGTGTAACTATAAAAATCAGTTGAAGTAAAAAGTAAAATCGAGTAATAAACTGCTGGAAAGACGTGGGAAAACTTACACCAGGAATAGTTAATTCATAATAAGGCTCGACATCCTTAATATCAACATGGAAACATTGTGCCATTCCATTATCTATCTCACGAGACATCTTCTTATAATTAGCTTCTAAGTGATCCCATCGAATTTCTTCGATATCTCCAGACTGATTCTTTCTTACCAGCCATTTTCGAACTTCTGATGCGTGTTGAATTGTCTTTTCATCAAATTTACTTTGAAAATCTTTATTTTCTTCGATGATTCTCAACTGATTGTGAATTGCAAGTAAAAAAGCGAGAAGAGTACGTCGACTAAAATTCCAATCACTGCTTTCCGATCGATGACTTGCTGATACAATAGAATCAATAGTTCCCTTCGTTAACGATTTCACTGGAACATAAAGAGATACTGGATTGGACAACGGTCGATACCTGATTTCAGGATGTCTTGAGACGGATAAATAGGATTGTTCGACAAGCGAAATAGTAGATAAGTCATCGCGATTCTTTGATTCATTCTTCGGAAAAGAAAAATATCGTTGTCGAATTTGTCGAAGTAAAGAACGTCCAAAGCCAATGCACATTGTTCTTTACTACTGCTTTCACGTGTTTTTATAATATTTGTTCTTTTATACATACGTATCTGTGATTCATAAAACTAACATTGCAACATTCGATCAGATGAATCATACATCAGTTACATCAGCAGTTGTAATCACTAGTGATCGCTATATATAGAGTAAAACCTCTCTATAGTGAGCACTATCAGGGACCGTTCGCGTTCATTATAGAAAGGTGCTGCATGAGTAAACGCTTATATCAACGTGGAGCTCAGAGAATGGAGCTAGCACCACAAAACAACATGTTATAGAGAATGTTCTGAAAGTTCAGAAACGACTTACAGCTTATATTGTTTTTCCGTTTATAGAAAACCAATTTTGTTCTCATTTTGATGACTTGTAGTACATACTCAGTGCCATTATATCACAAAGTTTCACGGTGAACCATTTCGTTATACGAGAGAAACTGTCGAAATATGAATATATAGTTTTAGCTCAAATCTTACAGGAGCTAAATTAGCATATCCTAGGTCAACAAATCCGATGCTGGATGCGACCATCCGACAAAATCCGATCGGATTCCCGGAAACGGAATTGAGTTGGAATCCGACTAGAAAAATCCCGTCGATTGTTGCACATTTTATGAGCGATCTTTTTAGCTATATTCTATGATGACCCTTAGAAAATCCATGTTTCGGATCCGTCGAATTCCTGTAGGATCTGATAAAATCCTATATTGGATCCGAGTATGGGATTGTTCGACCTGGGTAATAAGCATTTCTTGACTGTTCTTCAATTTGTTTGTCTCTCGTAGATATTCAATGATAACTTTCATAGCATGAAACGAATTGAAATCGTGCGAAGAAGATATCAATCGCTTGATGTATGTATGTTTTTTATTTATTATAATAGTAGCATTTTGTTCTATAGAATACAAATTATACGATGCCACTCATACATAATAGTACTGCGTCACCATAATTTTTTTAAAATTTCTTTCACATATTTAAAAATGTGTAGGTACTTAGGGAAGATATAGTGTCCACTCTTATCTTTAGTTGGTAAATGTTATATTGCCAGGGCGAAGAACAACTGATAAAAGAGAAATATTACCCAATTAGCATATGTGTTAATTTATCTTTTCGATGCATCGTGATTATTGTGATTGGAAGTCCTAATAGTCTCCATAACAAATTTTCAAATCTTTTTTCCAGCGAGAGGATTTCCAACTGAAAATTTTTCTTGAATTTTATAATCATGAGTCCATCTTCTGAGACAGAAGTAAAGTGAAATCCTTTGCTTCAAGTGGATTTCTTTCATTTTGTGAAACACGCACGGCTCTCGCATTTATTGATTAAAAAGACGACGTAACTGTTACAACAACAACGACACGATACAACATAAAAGTTCATATTACACATTACACGTAAGATCAAATAAAGCATTTCTTTTGTTTTCTGTTCGGGGAAAAATCTATTCACATAAAAAAGAAGCTTTCACTTCCTTTCGAAATACTTTTGATATGAATAACTTTGTGTAAAATCCAATACAATATGGAAAATAATTACTAAAAGTGGCAATACCTGTGATAAAAATCACAACTTGCCTGTCATACAGACTAACTGGTCGGTTCTGGATGATTTGTTGATAAAGAAGGATGGCCGCTAGCAATAAGTTAAAGATCATATAAACAGCAATGTCTAATAGTAAAACTCGGATAAGTAAGTGATCTTTTGAACGTACAGTATTCACAGTGACATGTGTTGAGGATTCTGTCCCTTGTACGGAAGGTAAAACCTGCTTTTGCCGCATATTTTGAATATTTCTCACCGTGAATAAGCCAAAAGTAACCATCAATGATAATGTTAGAATTATTCTGATTAGTAAATAATACGTAATAAATGTTAAATATGATCCGGATGGGAAATAACAAGCGAAATACGTTGGATAAAGTTGAATAATCTCTGGTAAAATAAGGGCATGAATATGAAATACAAGCCAGAAAATCGATATACCAATGATACTAATATAAGCAAGACGAGAAGTGCTATGTTGTCTTGTTAGAGCATTCCTTGAAGTGAGTAACATACGATCGATTGATCCCATAATTAGAAAATATGAACTTAAATTATCAGAGACAAATGTTAGATAAAGATTTATGCGACAAAAACTAAGATTGGATGCAGTAACATCATTCCTATAACCTATTGAGAGTGTCGTTTCTAAGAGTGATATGTAAATCATTATAAAATTTGCAATACTTGCTGCAATCAAATAAATTCCACATGGGTTTTTTCGTAAAGCCTTTTTACTGAAGACAAATAAACTGAGAACACAACTAACAGTACCTGCACAAAGTAAAAATACTCCACCATATTTGAATATATTTTCTCGTATAGTTGATAGAGTTGCAAAGAAAGCAAGATCTGAAGACATGATCAATGACCTATACAGCAAGAAAAAGTAAATGTAACATGAATAAACTAATGTTAACACTACACTTACCGATTCAACAGTTATTTTTCCGCGTAAATGAGTAAATTAAAAAGCCGCTTCGATGGTTATTAAGTAGAGGAGTGATAAGGGAACGATCAGAGTTTAGAATCATGACAATATAAAGTGGGGTTTTCAAAAGATGATTATCATCTCGTAATTATCTCTTAAAATAGAAAAACGATGATACTTTAAGGTCAATCGTTTAGTTACCAGTGACGTATACGATTAGCGAACAAAGATACTTCTGATATATTCTATAACTGTTCGGAGAACATTTTTTCGTTCTTTCAAGCGAGAAGTTCATATATTCGCAATGAATAATTTAACAACCTAGATGAATTCATAAATCAAATCGTATTGTTGATTATGTTAACAATCGTTCCTTTGATCTAACTGATTTTCGGCTTGAAATAATTAGAGAAGTTTTGACAAAGTACGCACCATAAAGACCAGCTACTATTTGAAAATCATCGATAAAAGACACTCCTTTTCGTCTAACTGCTCATCATTTTCCATCACCTATTCCACAAATATCGATTTAAAAGAAAATGCATTGTTTGTGCTTCTCCTAATGTTCGATGCAATGTTCCTCTGTTCAGCACTAAATGTTTCGAGATTACTGTACAAAGATGAACGTAAGATTTTAACCAAAGGGATCTCATTATTCAGAAGAAACTCGCAATAGAGGAGATTTGTGGTTCAGTATATCATATGAATACGATATTTATATTCTCACTTTCAAAATACTATTTAATCTTAGACATGATGTTCATGTATGACACAGTGAAAGTATATGCAAGGCAATTAGATGTATTTCATCTTGCTGGATTTACGGTTAAGGTAAATCAACGCTTCGCGTGCCTTTGGGTGACATTAAAATGGGGCGACTGTAGTTTTATTGATAGCGTGAAACACCACACAACGGTCAAATTCGTAGTCATAAGACGTATGTTTCAGACGAGCATTCACAGAAAGAGCAAAAGTTATTGAATATAAATATTTGTGACTTGTTATCATAGAATAAAACGTCCATCCGAGTAGATACTTTACTGATTCTTATTTTCTTTTCATTGATATTGCGCACACGTGTTGCTTCTCAGATGCTCTCGATCGACGATTTTACATATCAGCGGAAACGATTCAAAGAGACGGGTGTGTAAACGCTCATTATCGTATTAGCGTTTTTAATCCTAATACGAAAGTATTAAAAATAGCAATCATAATTAACGCAACGTTTATACCAAGGCAACATACTTTTCACGTCACGTAGTTCGGAAGGTAGAAATTATTATATTCAATATAGTTAGAAGATATTAAAAGAAAAAACTACGTTCTCTTTTGAAGATGAAATATAAAACTAAAAATACGTCGTGGAAGTCGAATCCACATAATATTTTCCTGATAGATAGCAAATAAAATATTATGATTTGTCAGGGCGAGAGCAGAAGTTATATCTTAGTTGTCAACCTCATCCATGTACTCAAGATATGTTGACCGAACTGTTCTCGTGTGAAGTCCTAGAAAAAAATACTCGTCAGAACGAAGCATGTAAATACGAAAAATAAATTTCTTTCATCAGTATTTGCATTTGAAACGAACAAGAGAATAAAAAAGTACGAAATATTCCTACTTCTCATTTGCGTATTAGACAAAAATTTTATCGAATTATGATATATAACAAGACTGGTATAATGTGCTTCGCTTTATTAGAAAAATGATTAGAATCCATCGACATCGTATACATAATCGAACAAAGAAATGGAAACAGGTAAGTAAGATCACAAATGATGATGTCAGATTTGATCAAGTTGTTCAAGGATCCCACGAATGTTATACACATTTCATCAAAGTCTGGCACATCTGTTAGTCGAGTTCACAATTCAAGTGACACGGTATGTGAGATGTTATCGAAGCGGCACTAACAGCAGTTCAACAAACTGTCCTGACAGATTCGGTCAGTTTTTCGTGTTTGATCTCTTGCGTAGACCAACATAAACCATTCTCATTCTTTCTTTTCATTTCTAACGGCACCATGTCGATTTGAGAAAGACATCGATCGAATTCTATTCATGATTGAAAAATTTCATACAATCTGAGTATATCTCGTCTTAGAAAAACGTGTGTTATCAACCATCATCAAACCGTCAGCGTGCTACAGGATTGGAATCTGCTCTTTGGACCAAATCAAATGGATCAATGAAATCGCAAAAAGAAATATCGCTCATTCCAAATATAATGATGCCGACTAATGATAATTCCGATGAAAAATCGATGCCTCCCGTAAGACTTTTTTCATATTCTACCTATGTACATCTGTCTTCTGTCAACATTTGATGAAGAAAACATATAGTATTGTCAGTTCTCTCCCATTCAAATCAAGCACACCGATCTTCACAATGAAAACGACAGATGTTTATAGACGATTTGAACGTGATTATAAAACCAGAGGAAAAAAACGGCATCATATTGATCGTACATGTGGGCGTGGATATTCTCTTTGTTGTTATTGGATAGCCTGCCTAGCATTTTTATTATTGCTTGCCGGTCTTGCAGCCTTACTCGTTCATTTTTTGACACAGCGAAAAGCTACAACAACTACAACGACGACCACGACAACAACAACAACAACTTCAAGTAAAATATTGCGTTTTCTATTTTTCATTCAGTGTATTGTTAAGTTAAAACTTCATGTTTTGCAGCATCAGCATCCACTTCTAGTACATCGACTTGTAAGTTTTTATACTAAAGTAAAATATAATAGTTTAATATGATTATAAATAGCAACGTCATCGACCAGCAGTACAACCACCACAAGTAAGCGAACTCACTTGCATCTATTGATAAAAATACAGTTTTTGTGCTATTTTTATAAGCAACAACTTCGACTAGTGAGTGTTTGTTGTCTTTCATATTTTCATATAAACTGATTTGTCGTAGCCACTACTTCAGCAGATCCATGTGCACCAGTGAGTATTGGTTCGACGTCTACAATATACACGACTACGTCTGGCAATACAACAGCATTTCAATGTCAAGTTTATGCATGGACAGCTCCTGCATCTGGCACCGTAACTCTTCCCATGTAAAAATTTTTTGGGTCTAAACGCGTTTCGACTGCGTGCCAGATGCGTCTAAATCGAAATAACCGGCCGCGTCCACGGTGAAACAAAATAGGGTGTCTAGACGCAGCTCAAAACTAACTGCGTCTGGATGCGTTTACATTAAATTTCAAAATTAGGCAAAAAATCTTTCAGTTCATCTCAGATTCGAACTGAGTCGCCATCGCAGTCATCTTCTAATGGTCTTAGGCTATCCTCACACATGAGCTGAATTTTTCTCTTACTTGCCGAGATACAGATTTGAACAGATGAACCATCGATCAGTAGTCTTGAACATATACCACTAAGCTATACTTGCTCGAAACATATCAGTATAGAAAACGATATGTATCTGACTACACGTTTGAACTTATACAAATCAAGACCGATATTTATTTTATGTCGTTTCGAAGCAAACACAACTCATCGTCGTACTTTTCTTCAATAATCTCATACAATTTCAAACAAATTGGTATTTTACTCTTTCTCTATTTCTATCTGAGATTTCATTTACAATAACAAATACTGAACGAGATTCAGATAAGGTAGCTATTTATAACCGATGACTTTCAACTGATTTTCGACGTTTTGCCTCAAGAACGGATATAAACTGATCATTGAGAATATCTTTTCAATACTTAACAAGGATGATTTCCACCTAATTACTCAATTTCTGATAGAGTATTTTGTAACTGAAAGTCTTTACATAAAGAAAACTGTTTTGATATTTTAAAAGACAGAGAATCAGTAGTTTTGGAACGGAAGTTAGCCTAAGCTAATAAAAGTAAACGCATTGAAATGCATCTTAAATGATTTATACTGTGTCTAAACGCATTTCAGTAACCTTTGTCAACACAGTTAAGTAATACTTCCTACAAACATGCGTCAGACTGCGTTTGGTTGCGTTTTATTTTTGAGTGAAGACTGCATCTGAACGCGATCGTGTTAATAGGCGCATCTCGATGCAGCTAAAAAGTGTTCTGACTGCGTCTGAACGCGACTATACACAAAATTGCGTCAACATGCAACGGAAAATTATTTCGTTTTGCGTCCAGATGCACTTCTATAGTAATACGCATTTGAACGCGATAAAATTCACTTTAAACCGCGTCTAGGTGCGACTTTGAAAGTCATATGCGCCTGAACGCGTTTATCCTGCGTCTGGTGTTTACATGGGTTGCATTTCAGTTTCGTCATGATCCTGACCAATGGTATTTGGATGATGTTTCCGTATCTGATGGAACAAATGAAAAATTACTCAATGGAGATTTTGAGACAGGTTCATTATCGCCTTATTGGATAAAATCAACACCGAGTGGCTCGTGCACATGTTGTCCATCTGCTACTGTTAGCGGTATAAGTGGAGGTGTCGCACCTAAAAGTGGCACCAAATACGTAATCGATGGTAGTAATAGCTGTATTACTCAGATTAGTCAGTCTTTCACGGTTGTTCTCAATCAAATTTATACTATTAGTTTTTGGCTACGAGAAGGAGGAGGATCTGGACAAAAACTATTTAATGCTACTATTTCATGATTTCAATCATTGACTTCAGCTTTTCTCACAAGAGGTTGGGGTGTATTATTATTAATAAGTTCAATACTTATTTTTTGCATTTCTCTGGTTATCAAAAACATCTTCATATTATATTTTCACCTTGATTTCTCATTCTAATAATTTTTGTATTAAAAACAAGAATATGAAAATTAATAACGTCATTTATATTCACTGAATAAAAACAATGATGCACTTTTATTTTATGATTGAATAGTTTTTTTTTGGCCTCCGATTATATTCACAAGAATCATAGTGAAAGTTATACAAATACTCGAAGAAGTTTTGAAAATGTATTTCGTACCTTGATCTACAACCATATTTGGCGATTATGTAGAATTTCTTGAGAATGTGGATGAGGAATTGAAAAGTTCTTAATACGATCATTTTGACAATTTGCGCAGATCATCAGTAACATGTCAGTTTTGTTTGTTGAAGAAAGATGTCACTCGTTCTAAACACGAATCAACACAGATTGATTTTCAATTAATTGTTCTTCTCTCATTCTATTACTAACACGTTCTCTATACACATAAAATATGCTCAATATTTCCACGATAATTTGACACATCAACACAGAATCTTCTTGCAAATAAATACATACACAAGATTGCTGTTCACCATAGCAATGAAAATTGAAATAAGAATTTCGTGTGCGACCTGCTTTCAACGACCGTATAGTTTCTTCGCATTGTTTATTACCGTGAATACTAGTTACAATATTAATTTTGTTTTACATTTCGAGCTACTTAGGTGAGATATAGAAGAGTAGCGACATTTCTCTGCTTTGTTTTCATCCAGTTTTTGCTAAAATAATGATTGAAACCTTCAATAAAATTTGAAAAAAGAGGTTAAAATGATAATTGTCTTCTAAAGTAATCTTATTTTCATAAGATTTTTCTATAGACAAAAACCATGAAAGTCTTATGTTCTTTTTTCATAAATATCACCACACATGATCGATGTTCATACAGACATCGATCTGTCTGATATATTATTTGAATTCGATACGTTTTCGAAATTCGTTTGATAATCTAATATGGATATCATCTGGGAAAGTGCATCGAACTTGCCAATTGATCACAACGAATCAAATTTAGACTTGATCAATGTTCGTACATTTTTTACGTTCAATATTCTTTTAAATTCTCTTATTCACCAAACAACGCTCACGTCAGTTCAATAGTTTGTATTGAACAAACATTATACAGAATGGCCCAAAAGTCACGATACCGTAACAACAAAACATAAATATCTCCCTTATCTTTTGACCAAAGGAGCTAATTGTTTTATCGATAGTAGAGGAACATCTGAACTTCGCACTCATGTAAATATATAGTTGGGGAAAACTTACATTAAGTACACCCTCAAGATTCAACAAAAAGCATTTTATATCACAGATAGAAAAAAAGCGGCTTGTATTGGGGAAAAAGGCAGTTTGATCAGCTTGAGCATAAGAAACCAATTCAATTTATGGATAAAACGTGTTGTTTACACGATCATTTTCTTTATTTTTCTTTCTGTTCTACTAAAATTCTGGTTGGTACCTTGTACATATAAAATCTTTTTTTGTGTCGTTGGCCATATTCGTCTGTCATTTGTCTACGTGTGTTTCGTGTATTTCTGGTAAGGCTTATTCTTCTGCGTTTTACATTTTCTGTCATGTAGTCAGTGTGTAATTGTTACAACATGTTTATGTTCTTAGATGCCGAGTTTAATAATAAAAGACCGAAGACTTTTTCTTCTCACAGAAGGGCGAGCGTCCGGAAAATGGTTTGCACTAGTAGATGCTGCTTTTCGAAGTGAATATCGCTGGTGAAGAAGTTTCAACTTGACGAACAATTCATAAACCAGCAGAAAAATTTGACGAGACCGACTCTGTAGAGTATGTACCACGAAGTGGTGGACCAATAAGGGTGACAACCGAAGAAATAGCCGAAATTGTTTCCGAAATTTTTCACCAAAATCCACAAACATCTCAAAGGAGTGCACCACATGGTCTGAACATATCACGCTCAAGCGTACAACGTTTCATGAAAGATCTGAATTTGAAGCCATACAGACCAAGATTGTTATAAGCCTTAAATGAGGACGAATCGGATCGACGTCTTGAATTTTGTGTACGGATTTTAGTTTTAATTCAAGAGGATCCAACTCTATTAGATCGAATTCTCTGGACGGATGAAGCTATATTCTAAACAATCGATCGTGTCAATAAACACAATTGTGTTTTTTGGAGCGATACAAATGCACATTTTATTATCGAAGAGAGCTCTATACGTACCACGAGTGATCGTCTGGGGAGGAATATGATTTGGACCTTCTCAAAAAACAGACCTAGATGTTATTACTTACAAGACAAGATGTGAAACCTGATCGAGAGGCAGGACTTTTCATTGATAAATCTCCTTCGTGTGGATCGTAACAATCGATATTGGTAGCAGCTGAACATACAATACAATTCAAGGCATAAGTCATAAGTAGGAGAGATTAAAGAAAATCATGTCCTATACCACTGCATACACTTTCGAGATAAGTTTGATTTCGTGTCAACTAATAAAAAGAACTGATACTGGTGGTTTTCAATCGAATGAATTTGCTTTTCAAGATAACATTTTTTAATTGATCGAGATCCTC